GAAATAGTTCTTTTAGTTCTCTTTGATTTCTTCTTTGATGCATGGCTGCTAACATTGCGTTATGTTTTGATTCTCCAAAATCTATATGCTTTTTTTTTCCCTTACAGAGCCCTAAGATAGTTGTCCTTTGTGTTTTGTTGAGAGTTTGTACATATTGTGTGTGGAAAGGTGTTCTTCTTTTTTTCTTTTTTCTTTTTTTTTAGGTGCATAGTCCTTGATACCAGAAGTCACTTTCTTAAATTGGGAACTTCATCGAATTAAGCAGTCAGAAATGGTTAAGAAAAAATTTGTGGAGCAAGTATCTAGCTAAGCTTTACAAATAGGTTTATGTTCTTATATGAAACATTTAGTCAGCTGCTTAATTTTTGTATTTCATTAGAGTAAATAGAGGTGTATAGTTTCTGTAATTAGCCATACGGAAGTGAAATTTCTGCTTATGGTATTTTCTAGTTATAAAGTAAATGGTGGCTTATAGCAATGGAATGTAGATAGTGTTTTCTATTTTAACAGTTACAGCCCTAATTTTATGTGTTTTCATGATTTATTATGATAAATAATAAAATGTTTCATGAATACCTAAGCACATAGTTCCTAAAACTCGTTCAGTATTTCTGAGTAGTATTTTTCTAACTATAGATAGCTGAAATGTTAGTGGTTCAGTGGGTAATGAAATCAGTTTAGAGTGTTTCCAAATAGCATTTTCAAAATGAAACATAATAAAGCTTGTTAAAGAACATGGCTCCAGGTAAAAAATTTTCTGTGGAACTTCGGGATGTGTATATCAGTTTGCAACATAGAAAGTATTTTTTACTGTGTTGTATGGTTTAAACAGTGACTACTCTTTTAGAGCACCTCACTAGTTAAAATCTGGTGTAAAACTTTACATTTTCTTTTTCCATTTAAAAGGGTTAATATAAGGGTGCCTGGGTGGCTCAGTGGGTTAAGCCTCTGCCTTCAGCTCAGGTCATGATCTCGGAGTCCTGGGATCCAGCCCCACATCCGGGCTCTCTGCTCAGCAGGGAGCCTGCTCTTCCCCCCCCCCCCCCCCCCGCCCCCGCCTGCTGCTCTGCCTACTTGTGATCTCTCTCTCTCTCTCTCTGTCAAATAAATAAAATTTTAAAAAATAAAAATAAAAGGGTTAATACAATCATAATTTTGGCTGATTTTGTGTGAGCTTGGAATTGTGGTTTACAAAGCACTTATGAGAATTTAAGCTTATGTTGAGATCATTACATGGAAATATGAGATAGAATGAAGAAGTCATATGTATAATGGATTATTTTAAGTCATTATATTTTGAACTGACATCTTGGTAACATCAAGTAAGAAGTAATGTTAGTGAGATGGGTAAGAACTATCACTTAAACAGTTTGGCTTGGGTTGAAAAACATTAAAAATATCAGTGTCTTATTTTTCTTGTGTTTTATGTTATTTTGATGACATTTAAATCTAGGAGGTTAAGATATAAGGACTCTCAGATTTAAATCTGAGTATGAAATAAGAAAACAAATATTAAAATGGTTCCTGGTATTTTAATATACTATCTGCTGTATACAAGGCAACATTTTATTTTAAATAGAAGCAAATATAGTCGAGCTTATGTAAGTCAAAATGCTATACTAGATTGACTTGTTTTTTGTTTTTTTGTTTTTTTAAAGATTTTATTTATTTATTTGACATACAGAGATCACAAGTACGCAGAGAGGCAGGCAGAGAGTGGAGGAAGCAGGCTCCCTGCTGAGCAGAGAGCTCCATGTGGGGCTCCAACCCAGGACCCTGGGATCATGACCTGAGCCGAAGGCAGAGTCTTTAACCCACTGAGCCACCCAGGCGCCCCTAGACTTACTTGTTTTATATGTAATTAAAATATTGACGACCGTTGGATTTGTTTCTTAGTTATGAGTCACAAAGGAATAATGATTCAATAGTATACTATACAGTTTTCACCTATGCGATGGGATTTTGGTTACTCCTATTTCTATTATTAGTGCCAGTTAGAGACACAGCCAACAATATAATGGTATGTTATAAACAATGTAAGCAATGACTTCTTTATCAGCGTTTCTTTGTTTTTTTTTAAGGACAATTATGTTTTTGAAGTGTATGTGTCACTTATTTTTCCTGATGTTCCTCCATTTTTCTTTTTCTTTTGTTTCTTCATAATCAAATGGAGGTTATGATTTTTTGGCTAGAAAGCTACATCAGTGGTGTTGTGGTCTTTGTAAGGTATCATGGGCAGAGACACGGAATCTTGTGTTGCGCATTTGGGCGATACTGATTTTGACCTCTGGTTAAGATCTTTGTTTTCTTCACTGCATAATGTTTTTCTTTTGTAACTGACAAGTGGGGGTGGGTGGAGACTTCTGTGATTTTTCATTTCAAACCAAACTTTTCTGGACCTAGTATCCATTTAGTATCCACTGATGATTTTTAATTGAATCAATTTCTTAGAGAAGTTTTTATTTTGATTTTTATGTAACTTTAAACTTAGAGAAAAACTGCAATATTAATATAAGAAACTTTTCTATCTTCTTTGTTCCTAATTCGCCAATTGTTTACATTTTACATATTTAAACTGTAAAATGAGTATGAGTCCCTGTCTCAAGCAGTATTGATTTTTTTTGTCTCCTAGTTTTGCTTCAAAGGGTTTGTTTTCTTTTTCTTACTCTGTAGTTGTACAGAATTCTTTTATAATTTTTGTTCTTTCTGCATTCCCTCTTCATTTAAAGTTGCTGAATACTGATCATTTTCTGAGAAATTTTATGTGTGGGGGTGCATATGTGCATCTATACACATATGAACTTAGCAATCCTATTCACCTCTTAAATTGTTCCTTAAAATGGGCATGGGACAAATATTTTTAAATCACAGGGTTGCATAGAAAAGGCTCTAGAGTTAAGGAAGCCAATCCACCAGCTCATTTTGTCATGACTCTTAAAAATTACCTTTCCTTGGGGTGCCAGGGTGGCTCTGTCGTTACGCATCTGGCTCTGGCTCAGGTCATGATCCCAGGGTCCTGGGAACAAACCCCACATGGGGCTCCCCACTTAGCGGGAAGCCTGCTTCTCCCTCTCTGGCTGTCTCTCTCTGTCAAATAAGCAAATAAAATCTTTTAATAAAAAATTACCTTTCCTTGTGAGTATTCTTTGATTCAGTTCAACAGATATAGAGTGTCTGCTGTGCTTAAAAGATACCGTAGAAAGAATCAAGTAGTTAAAATGCCTTAAATTTAAATTTAAATTGAATATACATTAAATTGAATATACATTTTCTTAATTGTTATTACCAATAACTCAGGAAGGTAGATAGTTCAGATAGATTTATTCCCATTTTATATGAAGAAATTGAGGTCTTGAAAGATTGTGACTTAACCCTGGGCCCAGTGAGTGACAGCTAAAGCATGAACCAAATTATAAGCTCAGGGCTCTTGTAAATTCTCCTTTACTCCCTTTATGCAGTGACTAAGGATGCATTAATTTATGCAAATTCCTGGCCACAATGAGGGTATGTTTTAATTCATTCATTTAGTATTTTAAGTGTTTCAAGGGCTGGGATAGGATCAATAAAATAAGATCAAGACAGTATCTTATAGGTTCATATAGTAGCATATGAGTAAGGTGCTTTTCGATTAAGACAGTGACATATCAAAATGCTTGGGTATATGAGAGTGGTTACAGCATGCTTTTTCTTGTTTCATTGGTGGGTCTTTTGAACATGAGTGTTGAAAATAGTGCTGGGCTGGGATTAGAGACTCCCACTTACTGTGATCTGTGAGTAAGATCAGTATGTTCAGGATCCTTACTTAATATGCACCATTAAATTGATGTTTTCCTTACGGGATTGTGGACTTAGTCCATGCAATATCTTCCCTCTTTTTACCATTACCCCTCAAAGGTTCAGTGCCAGAAAGAACAGGACTGTATCTTTATTTTCTCATCACATCCTCTCTTGAATAGATCATACTTTCATTGCTGTCTTTCCAGTTTGGCTCTGACTCACTGCTGTGATTCTAGCTGTTGAACAGTCTTTCAAGTTAGCAGTTAGTATTCTGATTAAGTAAAAATTGTCACGAGGCTGCCATTCTTAGTAGTGTAGCTAGGGCAGTTTTACTAAATCAGTAATTAGGCCCCTTTTGTTAGAGGCATATAACGATTGCATGTCATAGTCCTCCCTAAATATTGATATTTGAGATTTACTGGAAATTCAGTCTGAAACTTTATTATACTTCTAGTTTTGAGTTTAGAGAAACCAAACGTCAATAAAGTGACATTTATACTGTTTTAATATTTTAAAAGAAAACTTAAACTGTTGTAGTCTGTCTTTACTATTTTTGCCTTACTTGATTAAATTTTGCTGTTGTGTTAATAAGTTCAAAGGAAATGTTCTAATTAGTTTCTGTCGTAACTGGGAACCATAATAAGTTAGAGTACTTTGGAAAGTATGATAACACCTGCTCACTAGTAAATATCAATTCTTTGTCTGGCTCTTTTCCAGTCTCACTAACTGTGTCTAAATGTGTGAACCTCTTACCATCTGGGTACTTCAATTTTCTTCTAAATTTAAACAAACAAAAAGTCTTCCCTGTATTCTACCTAATACAGTTTTGAAAGATAATGGGAGGTCATTAAAGTGCTAGCTAAAATCTAACTATTTAAAAATCATTGGCTTTAAATATATACTACCTTAAAATACTAATTTACTACTTAAAAGCCATTGACTCTTTTAGTGTACTTCATTGCTTAGTCTAAGACCTCTATTTTTAAAATACAGTGTATTTGAAGACCAACCTTCTTTGTTGAATTTGACAGGCATGGCACAAGGCCAGTGTGATGAGCCCAAAGGGAGAATTTGCAGAATATGCAGGTTGAAGGAGCCCCAGGACTGACTTTCCATGAAGTCCAGGCTATCTGTGTTCATTCCCATGATGGGAGATTTGCTTCAAGTTGACTGTTGTCTTCCTTCTGTACCATCTGATTTCAGTCTGCACTTGTCTTTTATAGCTCGAGACCGTCGGATGGCAGCTTAACCTTCAGATGGCTCACTCTGCTCAGGCGAAACTGAAGTCTCCTCAGGCTGTATTACAGCTAGGAGTGAGCAATGAAGATTCCAAGGTAAGACATGGTATCTCACTGAAATGGTGTATTCTTTTTACTAGGTCTTGTACTTTATTGTTAGCAGGGTCTTTGCCCTCTGGATTGAAAATTTAAATACATTTAAATTAAATAAGGATTAATGAATTGACCAATCTTTATTTGTGATAGTTTTTGATATCGCATTGGCTTATTGCTTTATTATTCCTTTGAAGAAGTATCTTGTCTTGCAAGGTGCCTTCCTTGCAAGAGCATTTCATAGTATCACCTTTTAAATTCTACAATGGGTAAACTTGGTAATGCCAGATAAAAGTAAGATTTTTAATGATTCAGATACTTGTGGATATTTCTGGGTGTTTTAAGCTGCATATATATGGTAGAGGGAATATTGTTGCCTAACCAACACCTTGATTATGAACATAAAGTGAATTGTATATTTGTGTGTGTGTGTGTGTGTTTGTGGCACTTGTGTGCATGTGTTTAAATCCCAATTCTTGCAAGATAGAATTTGGGACTCGTTTTTTCTTTTTTTTAACTGCTTGGTGATTTCTCCTTTAGTGTTAATTTCAGGAAGCTTAAACATGTTACCAAGTTTAGAGTTGTCATGGAGTTGTTTTTTTTTTTTTTTGTTTTACTGTAGCATATAGAGAAATATATATTTCAGATATAAATAAAAGCTATTTGTTGTATTTTTATTGTAATTAATTATGTTTCTAAGATAGATAAAGGGAAGTAACTTTTTCTCCCTAAATGAAGGAGACTTTGCTTCATTTTAAGACAAAACAGAGGTGATAATGAGGTAGAAAGATCCGAGGAAGGACAGATTACTATGTCTGGATGTGATCAGAGAATGAGGGGAGAATGTTATTGCTTAGAATGCGCATTGAAAGATGGGATACTTATTTGTTGGAACTTTCATGATGTATTATATCATGCACATTTTTGTCTTCCATATTGGTGAGACCAATACCTGGCCCACGTTCCATGTCTACAGAATTTTAGGCAATTGAGTTGGGTCTCACTGCATATAATTAATTGATTCATCGCAGTGTGCCAAAGTATTTCATTTCACACATTTTAAGTTGGTAAATATAATACAGATAATAATATGTAAAATAATATAAATTTAGTGGTTAAGAGTTGCACTGACTAGTATATATGGTCTGGAATTTAGTAGCAGTGTAGCTTGGGGCAACACTTTAATCTCTGAGTGGGGCAACACTCATAATCTTGATGGGTGTCAGTTTCTTCACCTATAAAATGGGGATAATATTACCTGTCTCACAGGGTTTATGTGAAGAGTAGATACCCAATGTATGTAGTGCTTAGTTCAATGCCAAGTACTAGGTAGATGCTCAAAAAATGCAGGCCACTACCATCATCATCATCATTAATAAAATGTTCTTTGGCCACTGAATAAATAAATGTCTTTGTTTAAACTAAAGCTGACAGTAAACTTTTTTTTACTAATGGAGTTAATCTTTTCCCTTTTTTTTTACCTTCTTCCCCTGTTTTATTTCTTGATTATGTTTTTCATATTTAGGCTAACTGGGAGTTGGGGAGTCAAAGGACAGCCTGGAAAGTCCTTTTTTTCTTCTCATGAACTAGGTAGGGAAGGCATTCCCTTAGGTTTAGCATAATAATCTGGAACTCCTTGGTGTAGACTAGGACTGTTCTGCGTGAAAACACACGTATGTACCTGGGTACATTGTACATTCTTACACACATGCATACATTCTCCAAGGGGCCGTACGTACCCCTTGACTGTTGTATTTCTCATGACTACCATATGTTATGTCTGATTAGCTAGATGCAAATTATAGGTGGGACGGATGCTATTTTGATCATATATTGGGTATACTCTAAGTATTATGGTTTAGGCAATGCTTGACTATGGGATGCCTGAGTCCTCCCAGCTCCTTTATTATGTCTTCAAAATATGTTTGTATGTCAGTTATATTTTTAGGCAGATGTGAAATTCAACTCATTGGAGATAGAGGCCTGAGTGCATTAGATTTTCCCATGCATTGCTAGTTTGAAATTTTGAATGAACCTTTGGTTATCCTTACAACTTGTAGAGCTAGAGAACCATTTTCTCTTTTTTAAGATTTTATTTATTTATTTGACAGAGAGAGATCACAAGTAGGCAGAGAGGCAGGCAGAGAGAGAGAGGAAGAAGCAGGCTCTCCGCCAAGCACAGAGCCCGATGCGGGACTCCATCCCAGGACCCCAAGACCATGACCTGAGCCGAAGGCAGAGGCCCAACCCACTGAGCCACCCAGGCACCCCTAGAGAACCATTTTCATGGGCAAACAGACCCTTGGGAAGAAGAGCAGCAGCACACAAAAGCAAAGGATACTTTCAGGGGTGCCTGGGTAGCTTAGTTGCTTAAGCATCTGCCTTTGGCTCCAGTCATGATCTCAGGATCCTAGGATCAAGCCCCATGTCAGGCTCTTTGCTCAGTGGGGAATCTGCTTCTCCCTCGCCCTCTGTGCTCTGTCTTGCTCTCTCTCAAATAAAGCTTAAAAGCATTAAAGGATATTTTCATTTTGTATGTAGATTTAAGTGAACCTCTTTGTCTGTATTGCCCATCTTCCCTATAGCATTGTGGGGATTTGGCTGCTGTTTCTTTGATCTGCTAAATAGAAGACACTAAATGAAGTGTCTGCCCCCTGTCAGCCTGGACAGACACTTGTCATTTCCAGGTGATGTGTGTCCTAACTCTAAGGAACAGTTGACGGCTTTACCTCTGTTCTTTCAGTGAGCTGCTGCTGGGAAATGTACTTTTTGTTTTTGTTGTTTTCATTCTCTTTTGTATGATCTGGTACTCTATTCTTTGTACTCTTTGTATTCTTTAAATGAGAGTTTGGGAAATCTTGAGCGGTTGGAATATTAGATGAAAGGGACAGGAATATGAAAGATGTTTTAAAAGCCACGTTTATTAAAAGAAGGCAGAGCTTTTATTCAAAGAACCATGAAAAGCTAACACCGATTAATTTATGATGCAAAGTGTCTTAGAAGACAGTTTCCATATGATGAAATTGGCATTTGTTTAAAACAGGAAGCAGTAAATAAAATTCTCTTAAGTGTGTATGACACAGGGCAGTGATCCTGAAAATATGCATGCATTTACATAATTCTGAGAGGATTAGTCAGTAAAAATCATGAGAGAGACTATTTTTGATGGTGTTTACTTTTGAGCTGCTGAACTGAAAACTTCCTGTAATTCACCGAAGTGTGTGGTTTCTAAGAGTCTTTCTTCTCATTCGCTTCCAACGTACACATGGAAAGTGTAGCCTGCAGTGAAGTTTTAATTGCTATCACATTAGATAGCATTGTTGTACTGGTCTCGTTTCTCTTGGAACATTCTTGTCTCAAGGCTTTCCTGTTTTGCTACTAATTTTATCATGAAAACTGGGTGATTGTAGCTTTTCCTACAGTATTTTGATATATATTCTTCTTGTTTGCAGTTAATTGTCTTAGTGTTTGTCTGCTGTATTTAGCAAAGTAAGATTATTTTTCTGTTCTGAGATATCTCAAAATGAAGATTTTTTTTTTTTTTTTTTGGTTTATTTCATTAGAGGGCAGTAGAGCTCTTTGCTTACCTAACCTCTGGCATTTACAGTGTTATTTGAAATAACATTCGAAATAATGTGTGAAGTCCGTAGTTGTGGGAAATGCTAAGTGTTCACATTTCTAATCTGTATGTAACAATAGAGTTCTCTTGTTTCCATCAACAAAATTAATGCCTATTAATCAGATATGTACAGAACAAATAAATGAAATCATTATGACTTCATTGTTTGTTAATTTCTTTATGATTATTTGCCAAAATACAATTTATTAAAAAGCCTTCAACAGTATTGACATTTTTGTTACATTCTGTCACTTGAATTAATTTCTTTATGAGAAAAGAGAACCAAATAATTCCCAAGATAGTTGAATGGCTCTAATAAGTTTTATAGTGTAACTAGTTCCAGGCTAATCATAGACAGTTGGAGTTTCTTTATTTATAGAGAATAGCAATTTTATACTTAAGAAACATTGATAATTGTGAATATTCCAAGCACTTTAACTTTGAATATTCTAAAAACACTAAAATATTTAAATTTTGCTGTTAAGTGTGCATTATTGCATTTTCCCCAATAACTTTGCAATTACATCGTATTTTGTTAGTACAGTGGTTCTGAATTTTTTTTTTGGTACATCTTTTGAGAAAGAATCTTTGTGTTTCATTCTTTTCTCCTTTTGAAACAACTGGGATGAAAATCACCTTGAAAGGGAACTGTCATTTATTTATCTTACTGTTAAGTTGGAGTATGCTCAGGTTGCACGTGGTACTTTATGGATGGGTAATTATGATTGCAGCTGAGTTTAGGACTTTCAGTACCAGTTTTTTGAGTTAGAGACCTTTATTCTTATCTCCAGAATGGATGGCAAATTCTATTTAGGATGAAGAAAAAGGAGGGAAAACCCTGTTTTAGTGCTTACCCTCTGCTAGGCATGATCTCTCCTCCATTAAACTACATCTTTGAGGTGTGAATTCTTATTACTATCCATATTTTATAAAAAAGACTGAGAAATGGAAACAAATATGCCTTAAATTATTCCCTCAGGTTGTACAACTGAAAAACAGCAGAACTAGGATTTAAAACCAGACAATTTTACTTCAGAGCCCTGTGCTTTATTCATTGCTAAGATACTCTATCTTTTTGCTTGTTTAATAATTTAGTAGTTGGTCCTGTGATACGTATATATGTTTGAGGGTGCTGAAAGCTGTTCCTTTTTAAAAAATTAATTAATTTACTTGAGCGAGAGAGAGAAAAGGAGGGGTAGAGGGAGCGGAAGAGAGAGAAAAGGGGGGGCAGAGGAAGAGGGAGAGGGAGAGACAATCCCAGGCAGACTCTGTGCTGAGCATGGAGCTCAGCCTGAGGCTCGATACTAGGACCCCGATACCACGACCCGAGTGGAAACCTGGAGTCAGATGCTTAACCTGCCGCGCCAGCAGGAGCCCTGAAGAC